GTATGACATCACGATAGTGACGTCAAAACTGTAACAAAGGCTGTGATTAGTTATATAGATTAAGCCAAGGATCCCTGCTTCTCATTGGCATAAAATGTTTGCCTAATTAGAATAGAGAGGATAGGATATTCCAATGTATTTAAGAGAGGGTGAACGGGGGTGGCGAAGTTACCCGACTGGCGAAGTTACCCGACTCTACCCTACCCCTTTAATTTTCGTGGAGTTGTTGCCCTTGTTTTAAGGATGGGGGGCCACAGCTGGCCAAGCCTGCTCTTGTGCGAAAGGGTTAAGCCCCCCTGAAACCTCCCTTGCCTCGTTAAAAACTAATGAAATTTTACTGCTCATTTCGTAAGCTAGAATCTAGATCTAGACCTGACCTAGAATCTAGTCTAGATCTAGATCTAGATTGTGAAAATAGATCTCTAAAGATGAGAAAGTGAAAGTGGTCTGAATCTCTGCTACTGCTATCGATATTAGGGGTCTGTTCGTTTTAGCGGTTGTTCTCTGCATTGTATCCATCCCTGCATTGCAATTCAAGATTAAAATGTGCAGTTTCGCGTGCGTCCTAGATTTAATGAGTATCAAACTTAGGTCAAGAGTTACCTTTGACGTATCCCTGTAGCCTGCGTTCACACTTGGTCCCAATGACACTGGCAGGGTTCGTCAAGAGAACTCGGGGTCAATTCAACGCAACTGGATGTTCATGTTCGTTCGTTCACCTTAACCTCTGACCTTTGAAGTGCGTTTGGTTTTAATTCCATGTCCTGAAATTTTCCACATAGATCTAGATCTACATGGGGTTCCATTAAGAAGTAGATGTAAATTCTATATTAAAAACAAAAATCAATGCTTGAAACTAAATAATTAAATGTGATGAAGGACTCTGTAAACAAAATGTTACAAAGAATAACTTTGTATCTGAGTGGTGCGGTATTATGTACGTTGTATGGTGCCATTATGGTATCGGCCAAGTGGTCTAGGGGTATGATTTTCGCTTCGGGTGCGAGAGGTCCCGGGTTCAAATCCCGGCTTGGCCCAATTTTTTTTTTTTTTTGGTTTGTTTTAAATTAAAAATAATGAATACAGTACTGCCGTGATCTGATATTTGGTAAGAGATATTTACTAATGTATCTAAAGTATGTGACATTTCTGGAAATATTTAGTGTGTTAAATGTTTACCTGTCTACTTGACTTTTTATCTAGACTCTAGATTTAGATCTAGTCTAATAATAACTGTTTTGTGTTGTGTAAGAAGGTGGTTGTTATTGTTAGAAGTTCACATTAGGGCAAATTCACCCCATTCCACGGTACACTAATGAATTCTACATGTCAAAAGCCATCTTGAGATGTAATTATGAAAGCCAGCCTAACTGCGACTAGTTTTTTTTTAGCCTTTTAGATTTGTTAAAACGCATTCATTTCCCATGTCACGCATGTGATCTGATGAAACACATTTTTTTTCCAGAGAATGATCTGATAAAACGCATTTATTTTTTTGCGTATCGACCGTCCACATCACCTGTGATCTGATAAAACGCATTTGTCTTCCCGAGATTGACCAAAAAATGCGTTTCATCAGATCATGGCAGTGTTGGCAGGTCACTTTGCCTCTCGGTTCGTAGGTTCAAAATTTATATTATAAAAATAAATCCTTCTTACAGCACACAATTGTGCCTGTGACTTTCAATGGCATAATATAAAAATAATATAGAGGAAAGCGCATACAGCTGGCTTTCGAGTTGGGACATGCGCTATACAAAGGCTGTTTATTGTTAGTAATAATAATTAAGTGTCTGAACCAGTCCCCTTGGCTCAGGACTGGGAGATTTGGGGTTCGATCCCTGGGCGGGTCAAAATGAAGACTTTAAACTTAGCATTCTGGCGCCGGTGTCACAGACCTGCCACTCATCCCGATTTAGTCGGGATATCCCGATTTTTTGCCCCAAATCTCAATCCTCCCGATTTTCCCGATTTCGATCGCGTGTATCCCGATGTTTTGTCCCAGTCTGCTGTTGTGCCGGATTTTTCTTATAACTTACTCTGCCTTCTACT